TGTGCCTTTTCTGATGACTAAATCCGCTTAGTACCTGAGGGCACTTGATCTCGGTCTCTACTGGGGCGTATTGCCCCAATCCGCCATTTTTCCGCCGTCCCTCTTTCCTTTCGTTCTCCGTTTACATTCTGCTGTCTTTCTAATTTCCTGACACGGAGGGCCGGTCATCCCTTTGTTCCCGGCAATCCCAATGCCGGGGTCACCAGAAACCGTCCCTGAGATAAGAGCGCGTTCTCTCCCTCTCACCCTGCACCCCTGGGTGTAGGTGCGGGAGGGAGGGGTCGCAGTGGCCAGACAACCACTGGCCGTTTCTCCACTGAGGCCTGGCCTTCTTCCCGTCTTGCCTCAACTATGAACCTGCCCACATTCGCTTCCTCGCGCATTATGCCAACTCTTGTTACTCTGTACGGTGTTTGACACTCCGTTTTTTTTGGCGAGGATGTGATGTGACAAGAGTTCTTGACCTTTTCCTGACCCTGAGTGCCTTGAGCGCTCAGCTGATGCTCCACATCACTCAGAGGCTGTTTCTGATCCTCCTATGTACCATTTTCTCCGCTATTTTGAGTCGCACAGTAGATTTTTGTCTATTGTCCTGTACGAGTCAGTTGGAATGTGCGTGGGAGTGATGAAACAACTTTGGTCCGTGTTTCTGATGGCTTGAGCCGCTGACGACACCCGCAGCTCTGCTGCTGCCTGACCCACAGCGTGTTGTCACCGCACTTGTCACCGCACTTGTCACCACTCTTCGTTGCAATTGTCTTGAGCACGTGGTGGAGACATGGGAGGTTGATGCTTCAATTAGATGTACGACACCCGTGCTTCGGCAGGGGTTTGTGAGTTTAACCCTTTGAGGCAAAATCCATTCACGTCTGACTCCCCGTTTCCATCTCGCCTTGTTACTCGCATGTACATTTCGTGTGCCCTCGTCCAAATTGAAGGCTTTACCTTCTCCCTTCTGTAGCTGCTCTTGCCTTCGTTTACGCGTTTCGTTTCCCTTCGCGCCTAAAAGTCCCCATAGCAGCGATTTCGTTTCCTTTTCAGGAGCGAGAGTCTTAGCCTGCAGTGTTTACGAGCATGGCGCCACATTGGTTGTACTCGTTTGTGGGAGCTACGCTTTCCCCTCTGTCGTTGTACCAGTGGTAGCCAGGGGCTGCTGCTCCCTCCACATTACTCACTGTTGGCCCTTCAATGGAGCGCGAGCACTTAATTTCAGCTGTCAGCTGTGTGCTCATGCGCCGTTTTTTATTGTTTCAAGAGGCTTCGGCTGCCTCTTGACTAACCTGATAACCTTCTCCATGCTGCTTGGCGCAATGATTAAAAACTAAATTCCTCGTTCTGAATCTCTGGGAGATAGTGCGGACAGAATATAACACCACTCATAGAACCTGAGCGCCTTGCTACCTCTATCCCATATTCTGTGACTCCTGCCCCCTCCCCCCCACCCTTCCCCCCCCCCCCTCCTCCCCTTGCATCCACTACATTACTTAGTGTCTTATTGGTGTTCTGTATGTGACTATTAATTTCACGTTCAAAACACGACCTTGTGCATTTAAACACTCAGGACTAAGACATTCAGAAATTATCTAAACAAGATGCTAGGGTTCAATTGCTTGAAGCAAATTGATAATGCTGAAATACAATGTTGATGGAGAATTGACATACCGTGACTAATAACACGAAAGTTCTCACGAAGATGGTACACACAAAGCAATTGTGTTTCATGTGTTTCTTGCTAGATAGCTGTGTTGCTTGCTTTGTGTGTAATGGTTCTTTGTAAGGTGCATTTGGAAAAGGCTTCACCAAGGTTGGCACACACACAAAGCAAACCAACAAAGCTCAAATCTAGCAAGTTCTAACTTGGAGATGCCAGAACCAGATACTAGATATACAAATCATTGATAAATGCCTCCCTCTCAACTCAATCACTATTTGTAGATGTAAGTAATCTTCCCGCCGAACGTCACATTCACAGGGACGCCATCAACAGAAACGCTAACAAAGAAGGCCGCGGGTTTGGTAAACACCTTCGCGTCAATCAACGGCTTGAGTGGATCAACAGCCTGGAAGGGCGATTTGAGGCTAACGGAAGTGGAGGTGATGCAGGTCCACGTGCCCTTTGTGGTGTCTGCAGTGGCAGTGCACGGAATTGACGTTACGAGAGCCCCTGTGTCGCTTTTGTAGAAACCGGGAGTGCTGACACTTGGTGTATTGCCCACGGCTATGCCCGCAACGGTGAAGTTGAATTTGAACGGTTGGGAAAGAGGCGTGCTGCAGAGGAGAGAGCGAGGAGGGCGGGTGGGGAGAGCGTTTGGAAGGACACATACAGATTTTTGTGAGAGCACAATAGGAAAAGCGGTCTTGCTGCTGCTACTACAGCTTTCGCTGCTCTATTACTCGTGCGGAGCCTCGTCTGCACATTCAAAGACTCGTCTGAATGGATCCTACGACATGTAATAATCAGCATACGGCGCTTACACGTCTGCACGCATCACAAACGAGCCAGTCAGGGCACCAGTGCTCGAGGAGAGTGTTGACCATGCTTCGTCTGTGCGACAAGAGGAACGATAGGCAAGACGAGGAAAAGGAACAGAGCACCAGTGGAGAAGACGGCAGCATGAGCAAGCATGAGAAGGTACTGGGTGCATGAGACGGTGCTGGGAGCACGAGACGATGCTGGGACTCCCCAGATTGCGGGCCGCGCAATTTGCGGATGGAGCACGAGACGGTGCAGTGTCCATTCCAACCGTTAGCACTATTGCAGATGACTCGTTCTGCGTGACGAGGCGTGCAACCAGACAGGGCGACGTGAAGCACAATAGGTAGCAAGTCGTAGAGCACAATGGTAGGGAGTCTTACAGCGATAGATGGTGACGGTTTGGAGCTGGCGGCGGCCGGCGATGGCGCTGCAGGCGAGCGAGAGCAGCACTGCCGCACGGGATAAACGACAAAAGTCATTATGAGAAATGATTTCTTGTCTAAACGGCGAGCGGACAGATTTTTCAAACAATCGGCGGCGCTTACGGAGATCAGAGAGAGCGACATGGCAAGGTCAGAGTATAGCGGCGGTGAGATTATCGGATAACTCACCAGCGAGGACGAGCGCGGGTCGCAGCGACGTGTGGGCCATGGCTGCTCGGGAGGTACTACAAGTAGTTCTGGGCTTGTCGATGCTGCAGCGAATCACTGCATCCGAATGCTCGCACGAATGAAGCTACTGGTAGATTACGTGCTCAAGGCTAGCTGCTTCTATAAGTCAGCCGAGCTGGTTGCTCGATGCCACATAACAGCAGCACATATAGCCTGTAGGTCACCTAAACGAGAACCCTGAGGTATCCCGCCCCGGGCGTAACCTGTGGGTAACCTGGGGGTAAAAATTTGGCCCTATCATTTTTGGGGTTTCTGAGAGCCCTGAAATCGATGTTGTGGCCGCCGCGCTATTTTACTCGGCGTGGCATGCGCTACTTTTTGCAGCAGCAAGGAAAGGGAAGGGTTCAAGTCGTTGGTGAGGTGAAGCCCACAGTCAGTTCGCTGCCGCATGTCATGCCCCCACGAAAACTGCCAGGAGTGTTAATAGCACCTTTCTCAACCGTTCAACAACCAGACGAAATCGTTTTCAGAATGCGCATCATCCTGCGACGCGACAGGAGAAGTTCCTGAAGGCGTGGAAGCTTTGTGGCAAATCGTGGAAACCGAAACCCGATTGCGAATTCGGCGATCGTAGCCATTTGGTGCCCCGCCAGGTTTTTTCAGGATACCGCCGCACCTCCCGCGAATCATTTGAAAGATGCAGGTTGCGAACAAACATGATTCGCCAGACCTTTTCTTCGATAAAACACGTTTCGTGGTTTCAAACTGGAAATGGCCTATATTTTCCGTATAAACAACACCAGCAAGAAAGTCCAGCCCAGAATCAGCACAAACACAATCAGACAACACCAGTGCTAGAAACTCCTCGCCAGCCCAAGCGCCCTGTCATCAAGATTACTAATCTTGTGCAACCTGGGCTGCGGGCTTTAAAACATGTTTAACGCCTGATGGCTGAAGCCATCACACATCCGACATGTCAAATGACCCCCTATAATTTGTATCAATCTTATCTGTCAATTTTGTGGATATGCTAAATGCCATGGGAGCTGCATGTTCAAAATAAGAAGTACTCATGACTGCTTGTTAGAACAGTCTCTTCCTTATTATCGCTATTAGTCATACCAGAGGCATCTGCTCTAATCAATGGGGTGCTTGTCTGTTCGCTTTGAAGTGTGCTGAGCAGCAAAAACCACAATGGTGATGATAGAGCTGGCAACAAATATGGCATCAAACCACCTATAGAAGAAGTTGAATTGAATGTCGCCTCCGAGTACCTCCGTGATCAGAAGCCTGCAACACGCATGGCAGGTAGGAGTGATGTGCAAGAGGCATGGCAGGTAGGAGTGATGTGCAAGAGGCATGGCAGGTAACAATGAAGTGCAACAAGCATGGCAAGTAGCAATGAAGTGCAACAAGCATGGCAAGTAAGAACGAAGTGCAACAAGCATGGCAAGGAACAATGAAGTGCAACAAGCATGGCAGGTAAGAACGAAGTGCAACAAGCATGGCAAGTAACAATGAAGTGCAACAACCCCGGCAGGTAACAGTGAGTGGAACGAACACAGGTGAATGACGAGTATCGATGTGAAACAGGAACCAGCTGGCAATTAGACTGCTTATAAGCAACCTTGTGTACACAATTAGACAGGAAGACAACAAAATGAGCCCAATTGTGTGCATATATGGATAAGTGCTGCTGTGGTGTGAATTAGTTAAGTGTAAGGAGGAAAAATGCAGGCACCTGCATTGAGGTCTCACATAAGCCGGACAGGGTTTCTACCATGCACACCTGTATTGCAGCGCGAGGTTGTTTTTTATAAGGAGGATGGAGGAGACTAAGTAGGTGCGCACCTGTATTGCAGTGCGAGCCTGTTCCTTATAAGGAGGATGGAGGAGACGAAGTAGGTGCTCACCTGTATTGCAGCGCGAGGCTATTTCTTATAAGGAGGATGGATGAGACGAAGTAGGTGCCCATGATCTCCGCCAGGAAGAGCACTGCGTTGCTTGACGCCCCACTGGCGCCGCCTGACACTGCTGAGAGGAACTGAGAGGAGTGGGGGGTAGAGTGGTGAGGGAAGGTGGGTAGGACGAGGGTGGGTACTTCAAGAGAATAAACCACCTGCTTGACGCCCCACTGCCGCCACCTGACACTGCCGAGAGGAACTGAGCTGAGTGGGGGAAGGGGAGAGGAATGGGGAGGGAAGCAAGGGGGGGAGAGGAGGATGGAGGAGACGAAGTAGGTGCCCATGATCTCTGCTAGAAAGAGCACCGCGTTGCTTGACGCTCCGCTGGCGCCGCCTGACACTGCTGAGAGGAACTGGAGAGGAGTAGGCAAACAGCCACACCTCCTACTCCAGCCTACGCCTCCTATTCCAGCCTCCGTAATTTGCCAAATACTATATTACAGAGGTTGGGTGTGTGAGGGGGTGAGGGAAGACAAGGGGAGACTAAGACGACGGATACGGCGGTGCTGTCGATTCAACCAGAGAGGCACAGCCATGGGTGAGCTGCGAGCACAGCCATGGGTGAGCTGCGAGCACAGCCATGGGTGAGCTGCGAGCACAGCCATGGGTGAGCTGCGAGCACAGCCATGGGTGAGCTGCGAGCACACGGGGTTGGCCACTTACCTTGGTGAGGTTAGTGAGGAAGCCTCTAATGGAGACAGTGATAAGGATGCCTATGAACACCAGCGAGACGTACTGTATGTTGAGGAGAATCATGCGGGGGGTTGGGCATGAGAGGGAAAGGTGGGTGCAGTTTAAGGAGATATGGTGAGGAAGGAGGAAGATGCAAGCACGAGGAGGTGCGGGTGGAAGGATGATGTGCTAAGCTTTTTTTACTGTTTTTCTTTTGCTCTAGGCCGAAGCAGGTCTGCATGCTCTCTCGCAATTGCGTCAAAAGACCGATTGAGGAACGGAGAAGAATTGAGCACATGGAAATGGGGGTGGGAGAATGCCATGCAATGCAAGCGCCTATCAGAATCACATCGGACGACCGCTTGAGGAAGGAGGGAGGAAGAAGCAAGAAGAATGAGATGGAGTGGGAGAATGGTTGAGGGGATACGTGGGTGACTTTTGAGACGTCTCAAAAGGAAGGAGGAAGGAAGGAGGGAGGAAGAAGCAAGGAGAATGAGATGGAGTGGGAGAATGGTTGAGGGGATAAGTGGGTGGGACGACCGCATCAACGTCTGCACCTTTTGCAACGACTGCTGTTCTGGTGGAACAACAACCTGTGATAGGATTAGTGATGGTAGAGTAGGAGGCCCGTGGCGTGCAGCACCAGCAGCAGTTGAGATGGATGTGAACCGCCTTGAGAATAGAGTGCTTTGAGAATTGGTTGGGAGGCAAGGCAGTGATTACCTGCGAGACCAGTGGCACGTTGAGGCTGATGTGGAAGAACTTGAGAATGAAGCCCAGCGCCCTGGTCACAGGGTCGCCCATGCCGACCTGGGAGGGTGGGGAGTGGTGGAGAGGGGTCAACTGAGATGCACGTTGAGGCTGATGTGGAAGAACTTGAGAATGAAGCCCAGCGCTCTCGTCACAGGGTCACCCATGCCGACCTGCGAGGGTGGAGAGCGGTGGAGAAGGGTGGAGAGGGGACAATCGAGATAAAAAACATGGAAATGCATTTAGGAGGGAGACACAAGAAAGCAGGTGACAGCTGACAAGAACAGGGGTGACATGTGTGCAAACTGAATGAAAGCTCTGGAGGAAGCAGATAAGCGCCCGCTTGTTTGCACAAAAAGCGGAGGAAATGCAAAGGAGAGTGTTGCCTGCTGGCGTCTAGGGCAGGCAAGGTGAGGGGCGTGCCTCCTTGGTGATGATAGTGCACGTGGACTGGGGGGGGGGCAATGGCGTGTTTTGAGTTGACTCAAAAGGAAGGTGTGTGCTGGTCGAATTACAGCACACCTCAATGTCCAAACAGGCAATGTGAGGGGCGCACCTCCTTTGTGATGATGGTCCGCGTGGACTGAGGGGGGGCGATGGCAGCCGAAGCACCCGTGAGTAGCAGCCACAGGTCCAGAATTGAGAGGGAGAAGCAGAACGAAAAGGCGTTGAAAAAGCAAAAGAAAATCCATGATGCCTTTGGATTGGTTCAAGTATACACACATCTTTGGCTACATTGCCTTTGTATACACATACACGTTAAGGGGAAAACAAAACCTGGAAGGAAGAAAATAATCAGTTTAGTGCCCAATAGAGGAAATACATCTGCATACGGTGGAGGATTTGTCAAGAAAAAGCTGGTGTTTCTCGCAGGTACATACATACAAGCACAAGTCATGATCTGTAACCATACCGTGTACATCTTGGCAATACAGTAAGCGGAGCCAATGTAGCCAAAGATGTTCTTCACATGCCCCTTCCACGTGCGCGAATACGCCATCGCTGCCTGTCGGGGGAGAAGGGTGCAAGGGAAGGGAGGGCGGCAGGAAGGAAGCGGAAGAATTAGGTTTCAAGGTTGAAAAGGAGGTGTGCAAGCATTTCCAGGGGTTGAGGTAGGCACTGCCAGGGGCTGTGGCCTCTGGGTAGAGACATTCAACCTCATCTCCTTTCTTCCACCTTCTCCTTGAGTTGGCAATTGTTGAGAGCTGCGTGTGAGTGGAGGCTTCAATCAAGAGCCAAGGTGGATTCACGCTGAAACACGACCCATTGCCCCCCACCTTCTCCTCGCAGAGGGTGCATATGTCGAGGAAGAGCGAGCGAGTGGATGTTTCAAGAGATAAGAAGGATTCAGGTTGCAGAATTCAAGGATATCACTCCTCCACTCCTCCTGTTCCCCCCCCCCCCCCCCACCACCTTTTCCTAGCGCAGGTTGCAAATGTTGCGGAAGTGCGAGCAAGTGAGGGCTTCAAGAGACAAGAAGCATTCAAGAGCCCCCTAACTCCCACCTATCCCCCACCCCTGTTGACCCCCCACCCCCCACCCCTCCTATCCCCCACCTTCTCTTCACGGAGGGTGCAGATGTCGAGGAAGAGAGAGCGGGTGAGCGCTTCAAGGGCCTTGATCTCCGCCTCTGTGGCGTGCAGCTCCAGCAGCAGCGGGGGGTACCCTTTTAACCGCATGCTTTCTAATGAATGAGTGGGGGTGCGGACGGGGATAAAAGAGAGAGGGGAGCGAGCGGGTGAGCGCTTCAAGGGCCTTGATCTCCGCCTCCGTGGCGTGCAGCTCCAGCAGCAGCAGAGGGTGCCCCTTCAGCCGCATGGTCTCTGGTGGGCGAGTGAGTGGGGGCCGAATGGGGGGAATGGGATAGCCTATCAGCCGTGAGCAGCAGCGGGGGTTACCCCTTCAGCCGCATGCTCTCTGGTGGGTGAGTGAAGACGGGGGGGTAGTGGGAGATGGCGGGAATGAATAGTCCGACAGCTTCTTGATCTCCGCCTCAGTGGCGTGCAGCTCCAGCAGCAGCGGGGGGTAGCCCTTCAGCCGCATGCACTCTGGTGGGTGTGGGAGAGGTGAGTGACGGGGAGGGGAGGGGAAGGGAGGCCGAGGGAGAGACGTTATCGGAAGGCCAAGAAAGGAATGAGTCATGGTTTTGAGAAACTTAATCCCCGCCTCCGTGGCGTGCAGCTCCAGCAGCAGCGGGGGGTAGCCCTTCAGCCGCATGCTCTCTGGTGGGTGTGGGGTGTGGGGGCAATGGGGGATTGGGGGGAAGAATTGTGTTTAGGCCACCTCCATGGCGTGCAGGTGCAGCAGCAGCAGCGGGGGGTAGCCCTTCAAGCACATGCTCTCTGGTGGGTGAAGAAGGGGGTAGCCCTTCGTCCCTCTCCTCCTACATGCGTGAGCGCATCACTGCTCTCCCCGCCCACATCCCAACCATCACTGCTCTCCCCGCCCACATACCCCGCACCTCAACACCTCCCTCCCTCCCCCCACCTTTCTTTCCTCCCCACCTTCCATTCCTCCCCACCTTCTTTCCTGCCCCACCTTCGTCCCTCTCCTCCTCCCTGGGGGCGCGCATCAGCAGCCCCACGAATCGACGCAGCACAGACGCCCCCCGTGCATTCCCATGCAGCTCCTGCCGTCACAGCCAGGCGAGGGGGGCACGGGGAAACGGGGAAGGGGGAGGGGGAAGGGGGGAGGTTGGGAGAGTGGGGAAAAGGGAAGGGGGAAGGGGGAGGAGGGAGGGGGGAGAAGGGAGGGGGGAGGTGGGAGGGGGGAGAAGGGAGGCGGAGAAGGGAGGGGGGAGGTGGGAAGGACATCAGTGCTGAAAAGCAGAGAGCTCCTGTGAGGGCATGCAGCTTCCCTTCCAGTGGTCGGCGCAGTGGAGAGAGAGAAGAGGCATGGAAGGACCGTTCGAGACGCGGCATGGAAGGGGGATGATAGGAGAGGCAGTCGGCCCGCCTGGGGCCCATGCAATCCAGACGGCCCGCCTGGGGCCCATGCAATCCAGACGGCCCGCCTGGGGCCCATGCAATCCAGATGGCCCGCCTGGGGCCCATGCAATCCAAATGGCCCGCCTGGGGCCCATGCAATCCAGATGGCCTGCCTGGGGCCCATGCAATCCAGATGGCCCGCCTGGGGCCCATGCAATCCAGATGGCCCGCCTGGGGCCCATGCAATCCAGATGGCCCGCCTGGGGCCCATGCAATCCAGATGGCCCGCCTGGGGCCCATGCAATCCAGATGGCCCGCCTGGGGCCCATGCAATCCAGATGGCCCGCCTGGGGCCCATGCAATCCAGATGGCCCGCCTGGGGCCCATGCAATCCAGATGGTCCGCCTGGGGCCCATGCAATCCAGATGGCCCGCCTGGGGCCCATGCAATCCAGATGGCCCGCCTGGGGCCCATGCAATCCAGATGGCCCGCCTGGGGCCCATGCAATCCAGATGGCCCGCCTGGGGCCCATGCAATCCAGATGGCCCGCCTGGGGCCCATGCAATCCAGATGGCCCGCCTGGGGCCCATGCAATTCAGTCGGCCCGCCTGGGGCCCATGCAATCCAGATGGCCCGCCTGGGGCCCATGCAATCCAGATGGCCCGCCTGGGGCCCATGCAATCCAGATGGCCCGCCTGGGGCCCATGCAATCCAGATGGCCCGCCTGGGGCCCATGCAATCCAGATGGCCCGCCTGGGGCCCATGCAATTCAGTCGGCCCGCCTGGGGCCCATGCAATCCAGATGGCCCGCCTGGGGCCCATGCAATCCAGATGGCCCGCCTGGGGCCCATGCAATCCAGATGGCCCGCCTGGGGCCCATGCAATTCAGTCGGCCCGCCTGGGGCCCATGCAATCCAGATGGCCCGCCTGGGGCCCATGCAATTCAGTCGGCCCGCCTGGGGCCCATGCAATCCAGATGGCCCGCCTGGGGCCCATGCAATTCAGATGGCCCGCCTGGGGCCCATGCAATCCAGATGGCCCGCCTGGGGCCCATGCAATTCAGATGGCCCGCCTGGGGCCCATGCAATTCAGATGGCCCGCCTGGGGCCCATGCAATTCAGATGGCCCGCCTGGGGCCCATGCAATTCAGATGGCCCGCCTGGGGCCCATGCAATTCAGTCGGCCTGCCTGGGGCCCATGCAATTCAGTCGGCCCGCCTGGGGCCCATGCAATTCAGTCGGCCCGCCTGGGGCCCATGCAATTCAGTCGGCCCGCCTGGGGCCCATGCAATTCAGATGGCCCGCCTGGGGCCCATGCAATTCAGACGGCCCGCCTGGGGCCCATGCAACTCAGACGGCCCGCCTGGGGCCCATGCAATTCAGACGGCCCGCCTGGGGCCCATGCAATCCAGACGGCCCGCCTGGGGCCCATGCAATCCAGACGGCCCGCCTGGGGCCCATGCAATCCAGATGGCCCGCCTGGGGCCCATGCAATCCAGATGGCCCGCCTGGGGCCCATGCAATCCAGATGGTCGGCACAACACAGGTTCGGTGAGCACGCATGCAGGGGGGACGGACGGGGGAAGGGGGGAGGGGAGATGTGGGCATGAGGGAAGGTCTCAGAACTTAAGCTTAGAAGCGATAGATTAGTAATGAGCTTGAAGCTCTTTAAGTACATCCAAGAAGGGTAAGGAATAGTTGGGGAAGGGAATCAGAGGCAATCCCTAGGGATTGGGGGTAATCCCAAGGCAATCTCCAATTAGTGGGTTGGAGATTGCTTGGAGATTACATTTGGGTTTGGTTGGGATGTAGGTGTACACCCAACCAAACACAATGTGCAAACTACACTACGCTAGGATATAGAAAATACAAAGTACAAAGTGTGAGATTGAAGGCTAACACTAACAGAAGGAAGGAAGGAAGCAGAGAGGGAGGGGGGAGGGGGAGGGGGGTGAGAGCCATGGGAAGCCTGACGCCCCTATGGACCCTCGTACAGTCCCTAGGAGGCAAGCGACAAGGGCCCATAGGGGTCCATAGGGGTCCATAGGGGTCCATAGGGGTCCATAGGGGTCCATAGGGGTCCATAGGGGTCCATAGGGGTCCATAGGGGTCCATAGGGGTCCATAGGGGTCCATAGGGGTCCATAGGGGCCCATAGGGGTCCATCGGGGTCCATAGGGGTCCATAGGGGTCCATAGGGGTCCATAGGGGTCCATAGGGGTCCATAGGGGTCCATAGGGGTCCATAGGGGTCCATAGGGGTCCATAGGGGTCCATAGGGGTCCATAGGGGTCCATAGGGGCCCATAGGGGTCCATAGGGGTCCATAGGGGTCCATAGGGATCCATAGGGGTCCATAGGGGCCCATTGATGTCACCTGACGCCGACATCTATGCACAGGACTCGTGGACTTTGGGACATTTTCCAGTGAGCAGCACTTGCGTAGGAGTAAGTTTAAGCAAGTAGGAGAAGAAAGTGTGTAAACCTAAACACTAGCTAATCATTGAGAGCTTGTGAAGCTGGAGCTCTTCTCCCATAGGGTCCCATAGGGGCCCACAGGGGCCCATAGGGGCCCATAGATGTCACCTGACGCCGACATCTATGGACAGGACTCGTGGACTAATAGAGGAGGAGAGGGGGAAAGCGGTTGTGAAAGGGAAGTTTGTCGCATTGAATGAGGATTTCGAGTCTCACTTGCATGAGGTGCGGGTGGGTGTGGTCGAGGTGCATGCGCATGAGAAGGGATCGCTTCTTCTTCCCCACCAGCATCTCCATCCCGTGCCTCAGCCGCCGCTCCAACGTGCCTATCTCCGCCTCCTCTATCTCCCTGCCCAGTGGTCATGACCAGATGGAAGGCAAACACACGCCACACCTAGGGCACATGCAATGCAATGCAACACACAGGGCACTTGCATTTGCCCCTCCAACGAGCCCATCACCGCCTCGAATTTTTAGTCGACTCAAAAATCGACTCACCACTCCAACGAGCCTATCTCCGTCTCGCCTATCTCCCTGATGCACATGCATGGGACACAGCTTCAGACAGGGAAAGAGACAAGTGTAACAGCTGTGCCCCATCTCCGCCTCCTCAATTTTCCCCTGTTGCACGTGGAGTGGATGGGGCAGAGCAGAGCCACAGGTAAGTGCACGGCAGGTTGACAGCACAGCACCGTAGCCTGACAGCACTGCCATGTGCTTGTAGTTCGGGATGTGTAACAACTGTGTTACCTGATGAAGAGAGAGAGATAGGTGTTACCTGATGAAGAGAGAGAGGTAGGTGTTACCTGATGAAGAGCGAGAGGTAGGTGTTACCTGATAAAGAGCGAGAGGTAGGTGTTACCTGATGAAGAGCGAGAGGTAGGTGTTACCTGATAAAGAGCGAGAGGTAGGTGTTACCTGATGAAGAGCGAGAGGTAGGTGTAGGGCAGGTTGACCGCCCCGTAGCCTGACAGCACAGCCATGAGCGTCACTCCTATCACCCCCACTCGGCTCACCATCTGCGCCACTGTGAAGAGACCTGCGGGCAGGGGCACGTGGGGAAAGGGGTGGGGAAGGGGAGGAGGGGAGGGGAAGGGGGACGGAAGAGAGTCAGGGAAATGTGGGGAAGGCAGCACAGCCGTGAACGGCGCTCCTATCACCCCCACCCGGCTCACCATCTGCGCCACAATGAAGAGACCTGCGGGCAGGGGCACGTTGGGGAGGGAATGGGAAGAGGGTTAGGGAGAGAGGCATGGAAAGGAGGGGAAGGCAGCACAGCACTGCCATGCCTCGCTACTAGAACATGTAGCGTCGATCACCCCCACTCAGCTCACCATCTGCGCCGCTGTGAACAGACCTGCGGGCAATGCGAGGGTTGAACCGGATCAGATCAGGGGCACATGGAGGACGGGGAGGGGGGGAGGGGAGGGAGGCGAGGAGGAGAGGGAGGGAACAGGGGCACATGCGGGGCACAGATACAAGGAGAAAGAAACACACCGGCAGCAAGGCATTAGAGGAATGGATGGGCGAGTAGACATGACAGCTAGGGTAGGGACACACATCCATGCCACGAGTTCCTCTGAGAGGAACAGGCGCAATGAATGAGGGCACAGACATACATAGTGCTTCCTTTCCTGGATCTTGATGGTTACGCAATGAATGAGGGCATGGGGAAGGGAGGCTTGCCTTTGTCGGGCGTGGGCATGGGGAAGGAGATGCCCATGCGCCAGAAGAGGTAGACGAAGGCGAGGGTTGCATGTGTGCCTCTGTGCCTCTGTGCCTGTCTGCATGTGTGCCTGTGTGCCTGTGTGCCTGTGTATAACAACACCTTTGTCGGGCGTGGGCATGGGGAAGGAGATGCCCATGCGCCAGAAGAGGTAGAGGAAGCCTCCCAGAAACACCACCGCCCCCGCTGCTGCACGCTCCCTCCTCATGCCTGCCATGGCGTGGGGGGGCGAGCAGTCAGCACACGCCACATACAGGGAGCACCAGGGAGGCGAAGGTGAGCTTTTAGCCGACTGCGAGGCACCTCCTCATGCGTGGTATGGGGTGAGCAGGAGGCGAGTGATGGGTTGAGCAGTGCGCATGGGAGAGATGAGAGCGCAGAGCGGCAATGTAGGGAAGATGGGAGGTGGGCGAGCGCACCACGCCCCTCCACATGCCTGCCGTGCCGTGGGGGGGCGAGCAGTCAGCACACGACACATGCAGGGAGCACCGGGGAGGCGAAAGCGAATGTAGAGCAGATGGGAGGTGGGTGAGCGCACCACGCCCCTTCACATGCCTGCCGTGCCATGGCGCGTATAAGTGTGGTGGGTAGGTGGGTGGGTGTATGCAAGGGCGCGTACCGGTGTTAGCGAGGACGAGGAAGGAGTGTTAACATAGCAGGGCAGCACGATGAGCAGCATGTATGGGTGTGCTGTGCGCAGGGGTGCATGGCGCGTATAAGTGTGGTGGGCGTGTAGCAGCATTGCCGCCTCGTACCGGTGTTGGCGAGGACGAGGAAGGAGTGGTAGCAGGGCAGCACGATGAGCAGCAGCGCGAGCAGCAGCGAGAGGTCAAAGCGCCAGTTCCACAGCCGCGCACTGCCACGTGTCACAGGGACCATGGGGATGGGAGCATGGGGCAAACAGGGCGATGGGAGGATGGAGGGAGAGGGTGGGTGAGTGGAAAAATGTGAGAGCTTACAGGTGAGGTGGGCTCATAAAGACTACTTCAACGGCATATAGAAATGACAGGGCAGGTGGGTACCTTGTGCCACACGGATAGAATCCAACCAACCTGGTGCCGAGCACGGGCAGGATCTCGAAGAGCACGAGCTGCAGCAGATTGCAGGAGAGCGCGAAGACTGCCGCGAACAGCACCTCCACTGCCAGGTACTGCTCCTCGTAGTCCTGGGGGATGGGGGGTGGAGGGGGAGTGAGGGGGGAGTGGGGTGGGGGGATGGGGGAAGAGGAAGAGGGAGAGTGGGGGATTAGGGCGGTTCAATGACAGCCGCAAAGAGCACCTCCACCGGCAGGTACTGCTCCTCGTAGTCCTGGGGGGTGGAGGGGGAATGGGGGATGAGAGGAGGAGGGGGGAGAGGAAGATGGGGGAGGGAGAGGGGGGACGGGGGGGCAACGGACAATGGACAGCCGCGAAGAGCACCTCCAATGCCAAATACTGCTCGTCGTAGTCCTGGGGGACGGGGGGAAAGGGTGGGGGGGGTGTGGGGAAGATGGGGGATGGGGGGACCAATGGGGACACAGCCGGATGGCAAGGGATGAGGACGCACCTTGTAGAGGTGCGAAGGAGGAACCACCAGCCATACGCACCATAAGCAGCATGCTGGGCCGGCTTATAACGGGGCGCACCTTGTAGAGGCGCGCGACGAGGAACCACCAGCCATACGCGCTATAAGCAGCATGCTGGGGCGGCTTACAGCGGAGCGCACCTTGTAGAGGCGCGCGACGAGGAACCACCAGCCATACGCGCTATAAGCAGCATGCTGGGGCGGCTTACAGCGGAGCGCACCTTGTAGAGGCGCGCGACGAGGAACCACCAGCCGGTGGCAAAGAGCGCGGCGAGCGAGCCCAGCATGACGGACCCCTCGAACACCACGCGCCCCGCGCGCACCATCGCGCCGCCCACCACCGCCATGCCGCGCTGCCCGCACGGCACGGTCCGGTGAGTTACTCCGGCACGGTAGTGTTGCTCACGGTACGGAACGGTGCTAGTAGGTTCGTGCTGTTGTCAGGCATCAGGACATTTTCAACTTCACCGCCGCCAACGGCACGTTTTCGTCTATCGAAGTGTAGATGATTTCGTTGGTGTGAGCGATTTTCGAGAAATCTCACCAATCGCTCACAGACTTCGTCGCTGCGGAGACGATCCGCGTTCCTCCGCGCAACAGACCGTAATGCACGCCACGTTCACGCAACACGGGAACCAAAGCGATGAGCTGTGCTGTGCTGTGCTGCTAACGATGATGACTCATGGCCCTGGGCTTTGCGCGACTCGCTCTCGAGGGGATTCTCTGGGCTCGCTCTGGTTAGCGAGCACCAGCCCCCCACACAAAATGAAACAAACTTCGAAAAGCGGGGCGTGTTTACACAAACCTCAAGATGGAGTTGGAAAGGCGACAGAGCTTAGGGGTCTGACAGGATTATCGCGATGTCGCTAATATTCGTAAAGCCATGGTTTCAACACAAAATTGCAGTGCATTGCTAAACGAAACAAAACGACGGCTTCGTTGTTTAATTTGTTACAACATGTGAAACTTGGACGTTTCAGGAGTGAGTTTTAAGTGCACCCCAGCATGTTCGCCAGCTCAGAATCACACTTTAGACAACTTGAATGGAAAAGAATCGTTATTTTACGGTTTATGTGGATACAAATCGGTAATCAGTAACGAGTGCTGAAATGCCTTCTGACCCACGTGTGTTGCTGCACAGTTCACTCACTCAGGTCCCATTCCGGGCTCGTGTCAATTTGAGTTGGTGACCTCACACCAACTCAAATTGACACGAGCCTGGAATGTGTTGGAGAATCGAGATTCTTCCGCCCCAGCCCTTTGCACACAAGGAGCAGCAAGGGGGGAATGTCGGCGATAGATCGAAGGCTTCGCGAAAAATCAGAAAGTTTCCCATCGAATGAAAACTAGAAAGTTTCTGATTTTTCGCGAAGTTTCACATGGGAAAATTTTCTTAGAAAGTTTCACATGAAAATCAGTTTTCATGTGTAGAGAGTTTCTGAGAGTTTCCCATCGAATCAGTTTTCATGGGAAACTTAGAAATTCGATGGGAAAATCAGAAAGTTTCCCATCGAATCAGAAAAATTAGACCGAACCCTACCACTGATTTGTCTCAGCTAAGTGAGGAATATGGTAAAGGTAAACGAGTCCGCAAGGTCAAAAAGCCCTTCACATTCATGGTTGACATGTCATCAAGGTGCACATGTGAGGAGAGTGAGAATTGCATTCACAAGAAGGTAGAGGCAATATGCATGGCAGCGTCACACCTTCCACGAGAACCATTGAGTCGTCGTGAGGCTATGGCAAGTCAAGAGAGAGAGCATTGGTTGAAGGCCGAGGAAGAAGAGATTGAGAGTCTCATGAAGAGAGGTACATGGCGTCTTGTTGAGCCACCTCCAGGGAAGAAGGTAATTGGTGTCAAGTGGGTGTACAAGATAAAGGTAAAAGGTGATGGTAGCCTTGATAGGTACAAGGCAAGGTTGGTGGCAAAAGGTTATTCACAAATTCCAGGTCTTGACTTCACCGAAACCTTTGCCGCGGTAGCGAAGTACACCACGGTACGAGTCCTCCTTGCCATAGCCGCATATCTTGGTCTCCATATCCATCAAATGGATGTCAAGAACGCATTTCTCTACGGTGTCTTGGAAGAAGAGGTATACATGGCACAACCCGAAGGTTATGATGATGGTACGGGTCGAGTTTGTCGCTTGGTAAAGTCCCTTTATGGTCTCAAACAGTCCCCACGGGTATGGTATCATGCTCTTGAGAAGGTGCTCTTCAAGCACGGTTTCACAAGGTCCATGAGAGACAACGCTTTGTACTTCATGCACACGAGTGAGGGGGAGTACATTTGGCTCTTGGTATATGTCGATGACCTCCTCCTAGTCTCAGGTTCTCTTGATCTCCTCAACAAGGTGAAAGGTATTCTCATGAGTGCATTCACAATGACCGATCTTGGTGAGCCGAGTCATTATCTCGGTATGAACATTGTGAGAGATCATAAGTCACGGTCCATCTTCCTATTCCAGCAAAGGTACATCCAAAAGGTCCTTGAGAGGTTTGGTCTTGATAATAGCAAGCCATCACCTACCCCGCTTACTTCCAACTTTGTCCCTTTGTCTTCACATCAGCCCTATGAGGAGAGAGAGTCAAGCCTTGACATCACTGGTATTGAGGAGTTGTGTCTTGAGGAGAGTGAGCATCATGGTGAGAATTCAGCCAAAGTATCCTCACAAGACCTAGCTCTCTACCAAAGTCAGGTTGGGTGTCTCATGTATGCAGCCCTATGCACAAGGCCCGACCTAGCATTCACGGTACCCAAGCTAGCTCAACACATGAGTGCCCCATCACCCATCCATATGCATGCAGCCAAGCGAGCTCTTCGGTATCTCAAAGGTACTTCTAATCTTGGTCTTCTCTTCCAAGCCAGCCCACATGCAAGCTCCCTCCAAGGCTTTACTGATGCAGATTGGGCGGGAGAATTGAGCACACGCAAGTCCACCGACGGCTACATCTTCCTCATGTGTGGTGCCGCTGTTTCTTGGCAATTGAGAAAGCAAAGCTGCGTCGCACTCTCTACAACCGAAGCCGAGTACATGGCAATGACCGAGGGCGCAAGGGAGGCAATCTGGTTACGTGGACTCTTGGAGGACTTGAGGCAGCCGCAAACTCAACCAACTCCGCTCTACGTGGACAACACTTCAGCCATCGCTCTTTCCAAGAATCCGGTTCATCATAGGCGTACAAAACACATCGAGGTGCAATACCATTTCATTCGTGAGCAACTAGAGAAGGGAGTTCTCGCCGTCAACTTTTGTCGTTCGTTCGATCAAGCAGCAGATTTCATGACCAAGGTTCTTCCATATGATGCCTTCAACATGTGCAAGGCGAGCGCTGGCCTCATGACACTTCATGAAGCAGTGCAGCAGTTTGAGGAGAATGAGGAGTATGAGGAGAAGAGACATGGGCAGCAGCATGGAGTGTATGATAAGGAGATGTGAGACGAGCATAAGCATGGGTGTATGTGTGCTTCGGGTCTGGTGCGAGGGGGAGTGTTGGAGAATCGAGATTCTGCCGCCCCAGCCCTTTGCACACAAGGAGCAGCAAGGGGGGAATGTCGGCGATAGATCGAAGGCTTCGCGAAAAATCAGAAAGTTTCCCATCGAATCAGTTTTCAGCCGAAGACTCGATACAGTTCGTAGTTACCTGCAAATTGAAGTGTTGGGAGCTTCTACAGGTTTCTACACACCAGAATCAGCTATAACAGAAAATTCCAGAGACTTCTTATGCATGCACCTCATGTGGCTCTCAAAGTCACTCAAGGTCCATGGAAGCAGAATTGTGCCCAAGTTCCCAAGGAAGTTGCCTTGTCTAGCAGCCTAGTCTGAACTACCTATCTGCCTTGTTTGTGATGCTTATAGAGTTGTCCTTTAGTGGGCTTGTTAATCTTGAGCATAGTGAAGTTTTCCCTCATCGAGTCAATTCCAGCAGCCCTGCTAAGACTTTCCAGCCAAGTTTCCAGCCCTCCAGTAGTCACAGCTACTCTGTTTTACAAGTGAATGTTACCTCACACCACCGACGTACGAGCGCACGATGTGGGGAATACAGCCTTTAGCGAGACTCGCGACATGGTGTCCCCTCGTCTAAATCACGGGCTTGTTCCAGCGTTTAGGCATCAGCTGGACGATAAATATATAGCTTCCTCGCCTGCTCTACACCTGACCTCTCTAACGAGCCGCGGATTACCGTGCGGCAATCCACGTTGCTCTATACTCCGCTCCGTCTAACCGCACGGCCGTGCCGCGCGGCCGTCTGCGGATTACTCTCGTGCGGCCGCTGATACCGACTTACAACGGCATGGCGTCCACGTCATTCCATCTTATAGCGCGTACAGCTACACCCTCATCGTCGCCATGGTACACCCATCAGGCGAGCAAGGTACCACAGCGACAGCGTCGCATGCGGTCGCACAGCCAGTCGCATGTGGGACAGGAATCGCGCAACCGGTTTATTGTAGTGCCGCGCATGTCTGGCGACGACCAGACGACTGCTTCTAGTCGCCGCAGCACCGCAACACCAGCAGCGCAGCAGAGAACCAGAGACGCCGGTACGGACGCAGCAGCAGCATCGGCAGTCGAAGCAACATCCACCACCGACGAGGCCGTTTCAGGCTCAGCAGCCGTCCTAACATGTGAACGTTCGCATGCGCGCGTCTCGCCACACGAGCCCCCTCCGCTGGACCCCCATGGGCTGGCGGACTCCCCCAGCGACCCCCATGGGCTGGCGGAATTCCCCAGCGACTCCCCCCTGCCCTTCGCCCCGCACCTGCGCCTCCTCTGGCGCGCGCTGCAGCAGCAGCCGGGCTTTAAGCCCCTGCCGCTGTCCCCTCACCTGGCTTTCAGGGAGGGCGCGGGGAGGGGCGCGGGCAGGCGGGGAGGGCAGAGTGGGGACGGGAGGGGGGGTGGGGAAGGAGGTAGCGGTGGAGAGAGAGGGGAGGGGGAGCGTGAAAGCGGGGGTGGTGAGCAGGGGGAGGGGGGTGCGCGGGGAGGGGAGGAGGAGAGGCCACGTGTGAGGAACTGGTTGGTGGAGACGGCAGTGCTGCGGCGGGTGCGGGTGTCGTATGTGGACTATGGGGCCAAGGTGCAGGCTCTCACCGCTCTCTGCTACCCTCGCTTCAGGTGCGCCTCACCCCCGCTTCAGGTGTGTGCTGCCTGCTCCCTCCTCTCACTTCCCCCTGGTTTAGGTGCGCGCTTCAGGTATGTGCTGCCCTCTCCTTGCCTCACACCCTCTCTGCCTCACACCCTCTCTGCCTCACACCCTCTCTGCCTCACACCCTCTCTGCCTCACACCCTCTCTGCCTCACACCCCCTCTGCCTCACACCCTCTCTGCCTCACACCCCCTCTGCCTCACGCCCTCTCACGCTGCCCGTCACTCCCTTGGCCCTCCTCCAAATTCCACCTCCTCAGTCCCCGCCTCGCCCTGCCTGCAGTCGTGCTGCTCTCCTCTGCTTCATCTCCTTCCCTCGTGCACTCCACATGCTGCCTGCTTTCTCCCCCCTCCCTGCTGCTGCGCTGTGCTTCACCCACCCCCCCCCCCGTCTGCTGTCGCTCTCTCATTTCCTCATCGCATTGCATTGCCTGTCCCGCATCTCTCCCCTCACCTCCCCCCTTTCCACGCCTCCCCCAGCTGCTGGCAGTGGGCCTGCTGTGTTTCAACTCCATCCTTCCTGTCCCTCTCATGCCGTGCCCTCTGTATTGCCCTCCACCACCTCCCCCCCCTCCACACCTCCCCCAGGTGCGACCTGCCGCTGCTGGCAGTGGAGCTGCTGTGTTTCAACTCCATCCTTCTTGTACCTCACATCCACCTCCCTCCAACTCCCTCCATCTCCCTCCACTCCACACCTTTCACCTCCATCCACTCCCCCGCCTCCCCCAGGTACGACCTGCCGCTACTGGCAGAGGAGCTGCTGTGTTTCAACGCCTCCCGCCTGCTCGCCTTCATCGACCTGCACCCCACGTCGCCCCACCAACTGCACCGACTCACCCAGGGGAACCTCCTCCCGGTGAGCCCGTGAGCCAGTGAGCCAGTGAGCCAGTGAGCCCGTGAGCCAGTGAGCCAGTGAGCCAGTGAGCCAGTGAGCCAGTGAGCCAGTGAGCCAGTGAGCCAGTGAGCCAGTGAGCCCGTGAGCCAGTGAGCCAGTGAGCCCGTGAGCCAGTGAGCCAGTGAGCCAGTGAACCTATGCCTGTGGGCCACTTTTTCAGTTCTTTTCCACTTGCTCGTCTCTTACAGTTAATCTCTCTCATTCACCTTCTGTAGAGCATGCCACCTGCTTTGCAGCCTGCAGTGACTACACGTCTAAACATGATCCGCCAACAGCACGCGCACCGGCAACCATTCCTTTTGATATCCCTGCATGTCGCATCCTATCCTAGTCCACGTCACACCCCCACATGCAGGCATCAGTGACCGCCCGTCTGAGCACCATCCGCTCACAGCACGCCCACCTGCTCACGCCCATGACTGCACGCCACCTGCTCATGTTGCGTCCTACTCTCTCATCCTTCCCCGTGCAGCCTGCAGTGACCGCCCGTCTGAGCACCATCCGCTCACAGCACGCCCACCTGCTCACGCCCATGACTGCACGCCACCTGCTCATGTTGCGTCCTACTCTCTCATCCTTCCACGTGCAGCCTGCAGTGACCGCCCGTCTGAGCACCATCCGCTCACAGCACGCCCACCTTCTCACGCCCATGACTGCTCACGTTTTCGCCTCCGACTCGCAAATCTTCCAATAGATTTCTCTCAATCACCTCCCTGTCTTCTATGCTACCCGCTTTGCAGCCTGCAGTGACTGCACGTCTGAACATGATCCGCCAACAGCATGCCCACCTGCTCACGCCCATGACCGCACGCCCACCTGCTCACGCCCATGACCGCACGCCCACCTGCTCACGCCCATGACCGCACGCCCACCTGCTACCATTCCTTTTCAAATAAATCCCTGCATGTCGCATTCAATCCCACTCTCCTACCACCCCTCGTGCAGCCCACAGTCACTGCCCGTCTGACTGCCATCCGCTCACAGCACGCCCATCCGCTCACGCCCATGACGGCCCGCTTCTTCGCCTCTGACTCGCACTTCTTCTCGCCCCACTTGTCATGTCACCCTACTCTCCCCCCCCATCCCACCTCCCACGTGCAGTCCACAGTAACAGCCCGTCTGAACACTGTTCGCCAACAGCACGCGCACCTGCTCACGCCCATGACGGCGCGCTTCTTCGCCTCTGACTCACACTTCTTCTCGCCCCACATGCTGCTCTACCGCTCTCAGGACGGGTGGGATGATGCCAACCTGCAGGTGAGTGAGTGAGACCCAGTTGTGCTGTGCCTTTGCCTGTGTGCGTTTGACTGGGTACGGTATGGTTTCTCTGCTCCTCTCGCTTGCTTCTTCTCGCCCCACCTGCTGCTCTACCGCTCTCAGGAGGGCTGGGACGATGCCAACCTGCAGGTAAGGCGCTGCAGTGCTGTGTGTGCTATTTGAGGTGCAGCATTGCTGTTTGCGTGGGTGTGGCTGGGTACAGTGCGGTACCCTCCGGCTTGCTTCTTCTCCTCAAACCTGCTGCTCTACCACCCACAGGACGGGTGGGCCGATGCCAACTTGCAGGTGAGTGAGTGAGGCCCAGTTGTGCTGCGTCTGTGTACATGTGTCTGGGCATCGTATGTTACCCTCTGCTCCCCGCCCTTCTTCTCGCCGCACCTGCTGCTCTACCACCCACAGGACGGGTGGGCCGATGCCAACTTGCAGGTGAGTGAGTGAGACCCAGTTGTGCTGCGTCTGTGTGCATGTGGCTGGGCATCGTATGTTACCCTCTGCTCCCCGCCCTTCTTCTCGCCGCACCTGCTGCTCTACCGCTCGCAGGCAGGCTGGACTGATGCCAACTTGCAGGTGAGGCGCTGCGGTGCTGATAATGTGTGTGTGTAGCTGCGTAGCCTCGGCTACTCTCGCTTCTTCTTGTTCCACCTGCTGCCCTCCCTCCCTCCCTCCCTCCCCCCCTCCCTCCCTCCCTCCCTCCCTCCCTCCCTCCCTCCCTCCCTCCCTCCCTCCCTCGCTCCCTCCCTCCCTCCCTCCCTCCCTCCCTCCCTCCCTCCCTCCCTCCCTCCCTCCCTCCCTCCCTCCCTCCCGCCTGCATGGCCACTGGCTCTCTCCCTCAACCCACCCTCTCCCTCCCTCATCTCATCACACCAGCCGCCCACAGGCAGAGTGTGGCAGCTCCTCGCCGAGTACATCACAGCCTACCACGACGCCTGCATGGCATGTCATGGACCTTGCCGCTCTCCCTCCTTCCCTTCCATCCTCGTCTCTCCCTCCTTCCCTCCACCCACCCCACCATCACAGATCCCCACAGGCACTGTGTGGCAGCTCCTCACGGAGTGCATCACAGCCTACCACGACGCCTGCATGGCATGCCATGGGGGGGCAGCACCACCCGCACAGGCGAAGTGCCGTGCAGCGGAGGAGGGGCAGAGGGCGTTTGATGAGTACTTTGAGCGCCATGACCCCGCCGTGAACATGCTGGGCCAGCTGTTTGGGGAACAGGTGAGTCTTGTTGGTGAGGTGAGGCTGTTCGGGGAGGAGGTGAGGCTCTTGTGCTGTCGCTGCTGGGGTATGTTTGGAGAGGGGGCAGAGAGCGTTTGATGAGTACTTTGAGAAGCACGACCCTGTTGTGGACATGCTGGGGCAGCTCTTTGGGGAGCAAGTGGGGCTTGTTGTGTGCTCCTGCTAGGATGAGGTGAGGGTGGTCGGGGAGCAGGTGAGGCCTGTGGATGAGGTAGGGTGCCCGTGCTCCTGCTGCTGCACATCACATGCGTGTTGATGAGTACTTTGAGCAGCACGATCCCGCCGTTAACATGCTGGGGCAGCTGTTCGGGGAGCAGGTGAGTCTTGTTGTGCTGTCGCTGCTGCAAGGGCTCTGGACATCACATTGATGTTTTCATCACATGGATGTTTTCATCACATGGATGTTTTCATCACATGGATTTTTTCATCACATGGATGTTTTCATCACATGGATGTTGACATCGCATGCATGTTGACTCAACCACACCCTATGGGGGCATTCAGTCACAGATGTGATGAATAATGCTATCGCACCATCCATGCCAATTGCTTGTCAAACTCACTTCAACCTCACGGCACGCTCACTTCAGCCCATATAGACTGACGTTTGAGGCACCTCAAAAACCGGCAAGCAGTCTTCCCCTAACCTCAATCCCCTGCTCTGACATCCCTGTGTTCACCTGCCTTTCTTTGCAATCCTCCCCTTCCCTCCCCTCCTTTCCCCTCCCCTCCCTGCCCCTGGGGAGCAAGCCTCCCCCAACAGCCTCCTCCAACAGCCTCCTCCAACAGCCTCCTCCAACAGCCTCCTCCAACAGCCTCCTCCAACAGCCTCCTCCAACAGCCTCCTCCAACAGCCTCCTCCAACAGCCTCCTTCAACAGCCCGCACTTCCCGCCAGCCTTCATCAACCGCTCACTCATCCGTCACTCCACCGCACCCCACTCTTCTTCCGTCGCTGCTTCTATCTCCTTGTTCTCGCTTCACTGCTCTCCCCACTCTCTCACACTCACATTCTCCTTCACCGCTCTCCATCACTCACTTTTCCACTACTTCCTCCCTCCCACCCCTCCCCACTCCTTCAGTGGACACAAGCGTACACCAACCGCTTCCTCTTCCCTCTCGCCGCTCCACATCACTCAACCGCACCTCCCTCCTCCTCTCCGTCCCTCCTCTCTGTTTCCGCAAGCCCCATCCCCCCTTCCTCCTTGCGTTCCCCCTAGCCCACACCACTACCCAAGGAGGTATCCCTAGTGTCAAGCCAAGAGGAGAGTTCAGTTCACTAACCAGAAAGGTCCCTAAGCTTCACAAGGTAGAGCAACAAAATCCCGTTACCGTATCATGGTCTTGGATTATGCTATCAGTACATATAGCTACTGTGCTCTTATAGCAGTTTCTCCTAGTGGTACACCCTTCAAAGCCTCCTTGTGACAGATGCGTACGGAACAGGTGTACTACATTTGTGGGTCGTTCGTGACCGCGATTTGCTGTATATCCATGGGCTGTTTAATTTAATGCAAGTTACCTTAATGCACTGTGCGGGAATAGGAACTCTTTAATCGTACCTCTTTCTTGAATGCAAAGCTCACCTGCAAATCTGTCAGAATATCTTTGTGTAACTGCCTGTAGCTGTAGTTTAGTGTAGCAATCATAAACTATTGGTGGTGCACCATTCTTGTTTCTTGCCTATTTGTATTGTTCGCTCCATAGTGAATCCCCTTCTTCTTGCAACAACTTTCTCGAGACTCCCCTTGGCCTAGGCTACTAAGTCCTAGGCCCTCACTTGTGCTTCTATCTCAACATGGTATTCAGAGCAGGCACCTTTCTGCTGCCTTCCTTAACGGGCCCACCAACTAGCTTCCGCTGCCTGTCGTCCTGTCACGCGCCTCGGGCGCGCGGCGGGGCGCACGGCGATTTTCTGCCCGCCGTGTGCTCGGGGCGCACGGCGGTTTTCTGCCCGCCGAGCGCCCCGGGCGCGCGGCGGCTCTCTGCCCCACGTCCGCGCGCGGGCTTTCTGCCCGTTGCGCTGCCCTGCAGGCCGCGCGCGGGCCTGCCCTGCACCCGCGACGCCGCCCCTGGACCCCGCGACGCCGCCCTTGGACCCCGCGACGCCGCCCCTGGACCCCGCAACGCCGCCCCTGGACCCCGCGACGCCGCCCCTGAACCCCCGCGACGCCGCCCCTGGACCTCGCGACGCCGCCCCTGGACCCCGCGACGCTGCCCCATGGAGCCCGCCCGCGCCCTGCTTCACCTGCGCCTGCCCTCGAGCGTCCGCCCCCGCGTCTGCCCTCGTGCAGCCGCCCCTGCCTCCCACGCCTGCCCTCGTGCAGCCGCCCCTGCCTCACCCGCGCCTGCCCTCGTGCAGCCGCCCCTGCCTCACCCGCGCCTTCCCTCGTGCAGCCGCCCCTGCCTCACCCGCGCCTGCCCTCGTGCAGCCGTGGGGGGGAGGGTATGGGGGTGGCGGGTGTGGGGGTGATGACTGTGGGTGCTACCCTTCCCCTTCTCCTCCTCCTTCTTCGTCTCCCACTGCTGCAGCCGCCGCTGAAGGGGGGTGGATGTGTGGGAGCCGAGGGGGGTGGAGCTAAGGGGGTGTCGTGGGAGTGGAGACAGGGGTGCAGCAAGGGGGTGTGTGAGAAGGGGGTGTGGGACTGTTAGGGGAGGTTGAGCGGACGTCGCCGTCGTGTCGTCAACAGCGCCAGTAGTCCGGAGCCCTCGTGCTCTCGGTAGCCCAGCGAGCCTGCTTCGCAAGTCGCCTGTGGGTCCGTTGCTCCTGGCGCTCGTCGTAGCCGCGGAGCCAGATACTCCCGTAGTCCGGTGCCCTCGTGCGCTCGGTAGCCACTGTGCGCGCCGCTCCTGTTGCCCGTGTGACTGCGGCTTCACCTGTCGCCTCCTATCTCCACTCCTCTCACAGTCCCTCCTCCTCCTCCTCACTTCGCCTCTTCTTCTGCTTGGTGTATCCATCCATGAGGTGTCGTTGCACAAACTCTTGCTGCAGGCAGTTGTGGGGGAGTGTCAGAATATCTTTGTGTAACTGCCTGTAGCTGTAGTTTAGTGTAGCAATCATAAACTATTGGTGGTGCACCATTCTTGTTTCTTGCCTATTTGTATTGTTCGCTCCATAGTGAATCCCCTTCTTCTTGCAACAACTTTCTCGAGACTCCCCTTGGCCTAGGCTACTAAGTCCTAGGCCCTCACTTGTGCTTCTATCTAAACAAAATCCACGTACTCGCCTGACCAATACCAAACATTGCCTTGTTCTTTATGTGAAACCTCGAAGAGTGACAATCATGGGAAGATTTTGACGAGTATGGTTTCATGTAAAAAGGTTTTGATGCAAGTAGATGTTTCTTGCACACTCTCACTAAAGAAAATGGAACAGAATATAAGAATTCACAACATTGACCTCTTTGGTTGCTATTGTTGTGATTCTCCAAACTGACAGAGAGCATAAAACGGTGTGAACTTCTAGTAGTGCTGCGGTCATACCAGTTTGTTGTACGGTATTTGCATGGCCGAGCTTTGTATCGTTTGTGACACTGAACTTAAAGTCCGTACTAAACTGACCAGTGCGAAATCTACGCAAGCTTCATGCCATGGTTTTTTCATTATTATTATTATTATTATGATGGTTATTATTAATATTATTAGTTTTTTTTACCATTTACGATAGTGACAAGTACCTTAATTTTACAGATAATAAAATGAAAACGTATAAGGAGTGGTTTAAATTCATATTTTCCAATCTGCATGCGAGTAAAGTCAGTAAATAATATGACCCAGTGGTAACTTGAAGATCATATGCTCTGTTTCATGTAGGCGAAATGTCTCTGTCAAAGTTGTACAGTTTGATATATCCATTAATGTGCTGAGTCATCCCTCGTTTCCGTGACAATCGCTGTGGTTGGCGAGCCCTCACATATCTGGAGGGGACTGAGTTGCTCAACTTTCCTGGTTGGGGATTGTCGGGGCGAACCCCAGCGAGCCCTCGCATTGGTCGAGCTGGCACATTATCTGCTCGCCGATTTCTCCCATTCGATCCTGACGCTAGCGATGGATCTCCTGGGCTGCCCCCGTGTGACCTTTCGCCGCGACACGGTGGGGCCTCCCTGATCCTCAGACCTCCTGAATTACCTCTCCTTGCAACCCCCACTCTTGGAGTCGTTGACGAACCCAACCCAACTTTCAGTGTACCCCAGCTTCCCCTGCTGTACACTGCATCAGAAGCCATGGCTGCCGTCGTCGCCTCCCACACCGTTGCGGCTGTCGCCAGCTCCGTCGTGAGCAAGTCTGCCTTCTCCGGCAAGAAGGTTCGCTCCGTCAAGGTCGCTGTCGCTCCCCAGAAGGTTGCATTCAGCGTGTCCGCAGATGCCGACAGGCCCCTGTGGTTCCCTGGCAGCACCCCTCCCGCCCACCTTGACGGCACCTATGCTGCTGACTTCGGCTTCGATCCCCTTGGCCTTGGTTAGTCTCTTATTCCTGCACCTAAACATGGTGAAATTGTACTGGCACAAGTTTGTTTATATTCTTTCCGGATTGTTCTAATGTTTTATGTGCTTATATTACCTCCATTATTTCCCATTCTCCTGCAGCCTCCGACGATGTCAACTGGTACGTCCAGGCTGAGCTCGTCCACTGCCGCTGGGCCATGCTCGGTGCCGCTGGCGTTCTGATCCCCGACGCTCTCCGCGTTGCTGGTCTCCTCGACATCCCCCGCTGGGACATCGCGGGCGTCGCTGACTACGGCATTGACTGGCGTGTGCTGCTGGCGGTTGAGATCGCCGCTTTCGGCTGGGCTGAGGGCAACCGCTGGGCCGACATCATCAAGCCCGGATCCGTGAGGTTAGTCTGGCCACATGGTTCTACTTTGTCTTTCACTAATTGAATGTTCCGCGGTATCATTGGTTGCTAACGTTTGTTATTTGCCGTTTGCAGCGAGGACCCCATCTTCAAGGGCAACAAGGTGAAGGGCACCGATGTCGGCTACCCCGGCTTCGACCCCCTCGGCATGGGCTTCGGTTCACCTGCTTACGTGAAGGAGATCCGCTCCAAGGAGATCAGGAACGGCCGATTGGCCATGCTTGCTAACCTTGGCTTCTGGGTCCAGGCTTCTTACACCAATGCCAGCCCCGTCGAAAACCTGTTGAACCACCTCGAGAACCCCGGCTTCAACAACTTCGCACACAACGCCATGGTAAGCTGTTGTCTTCTGTATTAATCTATTCGTACACCCTTTTGAACTTTCTGTTCACAAGTTCAGCTCACTAACGCCTTTCAAACACTTTTCTTCTGTGGTTGCAGTCCGTGTTCTATTGAGCTGGGTTAATGTCTGGTCTCTAGAGCTGGATGTAAAGCAAGTGTGCATAATATTAAATGAAATTTTCTAAAAATACAACCTTGTACCGTAATTGCTCAAATGCTTCGCAATTGATCTAACACCTTCAAGTAAGCCACGATAATACAATATCGGCACAACGTAATTCTCATATCCTTCACCATGTAATCTGGTCGGTCGTTGTGATGGCCTAGTGCCTATGCAAAGGCCCATCACGTCTCTCATTTCCTCGTCTGCATTAGTGAAAACATAACTGCTCTTATCATATAGGGTAATAACAAATACGTTTAATTGTTCAAACGCCACTAAATAACAGTCTAAACTACAACTTGCTCTCCTGCAGTGACCAGAACACTTCATTAGCCACTCTTGTACCCGTGTCCAGTGCTCCCTGCATGCACGGGTTCACACCGAAGTGTGTGGCCTCCCCGGCAAAGAACAGCTTCCCAGCCACAGGCACCGCCAGCTGGTCCCTTGCATTCCCTGCTCCGATCGTTGGATGCGTGTAGGCGCCACGGATATAGACGTCCTTAGACCAGTCAGCGAAGCAGCCTGAAACGAAGCATGCGGAAGCTGGGTGGCAGGAGGTGCAGAGAGGGGAGGTGACAGCACCATGGCACGAGCTGCTGGTGCTGCTGCTGCCGGCTGGTTTGGTTGTCAACGTCGGCACAACAAAGGTTCCAACACTGTCGTTGGTAGCTCCATGTGGCAAGGCCTGAAGCTGCAATCCGTGCTCCTTGCAGCCGCAACTTGACCCACTTGTGCCGTCCTTACTAGTCTCAGTCACCCTGACATTGTCAGGCCGTGGCTTACAGGTGGAGCAAGGGCGGCGAAACATGGCATCTAGCTGCTCCAGAGAGCGGGAAATCACCACTTGGGGCGGCAGCCTCGCCATGGCTTCTGCTGCATCACCGGCTGCAAAGCCAACTGCGAGGAACTGACCCATGGGGACCGAGGGAGGGGGAAGAGCTGCAGCGATAGGCGCAGCAGGAGTGGAGGAATGGAGAGTGGAGGAGGTGGGAGAGGAGGAGGAGGTGGAGGGGGAGGAGGGCGAGCGGCGGGTGAACCAGACTTCTGGCAGAAAGGAGTCGGTGCAGACGATGTCAAAGAGGTGGGCGGGCCACACTTGGTGGGAGAAGGCCATGAGGACCTGAGGGGAGGGGAGGGGCATAGGGTGCAGGGGGCATAGGGTGCAGGCAGTAGGGGGACAGGAAGGAAGGAGTCGGTGCAGACTATGTCAAAGAGGTGGGCGGGCCACACACAGTGAGAGAAGGCCATTAGGACCTGAAGAGAGGGGTATGGCGTGGTGTGCAGGGGGCATAGAGTGCAGGCAGTTGGGGCCCGGTAGGAAAGGAGTGGTGAGACGATGTGAAAGCGGTGGGCGAGCCACACACAGTGAGAGAAGGCCACTGGGACCTGGAGGGAGGGGTGGGGTGTGCAGGGGGGATAGGCTGTCGGCAGTGAAGGAGTGTCGGTAGAGAAGGTCATTAGGACCTTGATGGGCAGGACACGAGAAAGAGAGAGGAAAAAGAAGAGGAAAAGCAGAAAACGCCGAGGATAATTTGATATAACTGGGAAAGAGGAGAGGAGATCAGGAGAAGACGAAGACAGAGAGCCTCAAGATGCAGGGAGGAAGGAGGATTGTGACGCAAGCCATGTTTGCTTCACATCTATCACATGTCCCACTTAACACTCCCAACTTTATTATCTCATTCACAGCCACTCACATCTCCCATGCCCACGGCTTCAATCTCAATGGCCCGCTGATACGCCATTCACACACCTCTTGCATGCCACTCACATGCCTCTCTCCCCATCCTACGCCATCCTACTCCTCTCACCCTAGCATGCTTACTCATGCCTCTCGCATGCCACTTACGTGCCTCACATGCGTCACACACACCACACATGCCCCTTACGCTACACATGCCCCTTACATGCCTCACACCCCATGTTACTCCTCTCACCTTCACACACCCCATGTTACTCCTCTCACCTTCACACACCCCATGTTACTCCTCTCACCTTCACACACCCCATGTTACTCCTCTCACCTTCACACACCCCATGTTACTCCTCTCACCTTCACACACCCCATGTTACTCCTCTCACCTTCACACACCCCATGTTACTCCTCTCACCTTCACACACCCCATGCGCATAGCTCCTATGGCCTGCTGCTGGGCAGCATGCCTACTCATGCCTCTCAGATGCCTTTTGCATATCTCGCGAGCTCAAAAGGCTTGTAGGACGTACATCAGATGCATATGCAGTTTCATGCGCCGTATGCTTTCACTGCGTTTTTCTGTTCTTTATCCCAAACCAAAAGGATAAAAAAGCAAGCTACCTAAGGTTGAAGCTACATGCCTCTCTCTCCCCCCATCCTATCCCATCCCCATCTCACCTTCACGGCACACCCCATGCGCACGGCTCCGATCGCCCGCTGCTTGGGTGCTGGGAGAGGCGGGTCAAAGCGGATATCCCCCGCTTGCAGCACAGGCTGGTGGTGCAGAGCGGTGGAGAGTGGTGAAAGGGAGTGTAGGAGAAAGGGAACGGGAGTGAAAGTGAGTGGGGGAGAACGGGAGTGGGAGAGAAGCGGAGTCGGGGAGAAGGGGATTGAGGGAGAAGGGGATTGAGGGAGAAGGGGATTGAGGGAGAAGGGGATTGAGGGAGAAGGGGATTGAGGGAGAAGGGGATTGAGGGAGAAGGGGATTGAGGGAGAAGGGGATTGAGGGAGAAGGGGATTGAGGGAGAAGGGGATTGAGGGAGAAGGGGATTGGGTGAGAAGGAAAATGGGGAAGCGGTGGAGCGCAGTTAGTGGCACGAGGAGCAAGGGTTGGGTGGCATGAAAGGCATTCAAGGGGCACTCACGAGAGGGACAGTGATGACGACACGCTTTGCCTGAATCTGCTCCCCGTGCTTGCTGGTCACTGTGATGAGAGCAGTGGGCGCTGCCAATGTAGCGCTGGGTGCGGTAGGATTCGCGAATGTGCTGCTGTTGGCGCCATAAGTTACGGAAGCCACAGGCCAATTGCACTTCACCTGGAATTGCACAAGAACAATGACGATGATGATTATTATCATATACATAAATACATATATTTTCCAAACAAAACAAAGAAGAAAGTCGAATTTTTTCTACTTAGTCTTCTTCTTTTGTATATTTTCTTTGCAACAAAACCTTGACAGCACCTGTGGTCCGATCCGAGAATGTCATTTGGGAACTCTCAAAACACCGTGGCGTAGGATTAGCCATACATCCACGACCTGGCCTCCCTCACACCCTCCCTCCTCTCAACCATCCCCAGACATCACAGAAGACAGCGTCATCTTCACCTCAAGGCCCGTTGCCACGTGTGTTGCACAATGGCTGAGCAGGGCTGATTTTACAAAATGCCAGCCGTGATCTGCCATTGAGCGACGACGGTCGCACACAACATGGGTGTTGTTGAAAACTTAGCCCTCCCTCACGCTCTCCCCTCTCTCCCCCACGCCCACCTCACTGCCATCAACATTATCGCCACCATTCGCATCACCTGAAGGCCCGTGGCCAAGTGTTGAACGACGGCAGAGAAGGGCTGGTTGCACACAATGTAGGAGAAGCCATACACCCACGACCTTCAGACTCTCCCCCCTTCTCTCCCCCATGCCTAGACAACCCAGCGATCACTTACCTGAATGCCCGTTGCCAAGTGGCTGATGACGGCAGAGAAGGGCCGGTCGCACACAATGTATTTGAAGCCATACACCCATGACCTCGCCTCCCTAACGCTCTCCCCCCTCTTCTTCCCCATGCCCACATATCACAACAAGCACTGTCATCAACACTAACATCACCTCAAGGCCCGTTGACAAGTGGCTGATGACGGCAGAGAAGGTCCGGTCGCACACAATGTATTTGAAGCCATACACCCACGACCTCGCCTCCCTCACGCTCTCCCCCATGCCCAGATGCCGCAGCGAGCACCCAAAGTCGTTGGCGTATATGGCTACAGGGGAAGGATTGGGGAGGCAGGCACGGTGGGGGAGGGGAGGCAAGGGGGGGTGGGAAGGAGGTGGGAAGGCATGGAAAGTCATTTGCGTATATGGCTGGGGGGGAAGATGGAGGTGGAGGAGAGGGGGAGAGAGGTGATGTGGAGAGGATGGGGAGAGAGAGAGGAGCAGCAGATGAAGTTCGGAAGGTAGCAGCAGCGAGCAGCAGGCATTCTGCTCATGCCCACCACCACCACCACCACCACAACCAGCAGCAGCAGCAGCAGCAGCAGCAGCAGCAGGCAGCAGGAAGCAGCAACAGACATCACCAGTACCGTCACTACGAGCATCATCACCACCAGCAGCACCCACATTCCGCGAGAGCCAGCTGGCGGGGCGAAGCCCCCTTGCGCCGCATCATCTCCACCACGGAGCAGTCGCCCTCGCCCTCACCCCCTGCTTCCTCCCCTTCCCCCATGTGCAGCAAGGTGCTCAAAGAAGGCGTGCACCACCACTACCACTACCACCATCACCACTACCACCATCACCACTACCACCATCACCACCATCACCACCACCACTCACATTCCGCGAGAGCCAGCTGGCGGGGCGAGGCGCCCTTGCGCCGCATCATCTCCACCACGGAGCAGTCGCCCTCGCCCTCACCCCCTGCTTCCTCCGTCCCTCCATGTGCAGCCAGCTGTTCAAAGAAGGCGTGCACGGCCGCCACATCGGGGTCGCTCTCCGCCTCCTCTGGGGGCACCAGGCGCTGCTCCTTGCCGAAATAGTAGTGGTCCGGTGGTTGGTGGAATGGGGGGGAAGAAGAGAGAACAATGGTAGTGGTCCGGTGGTTGGTGGGTAACGGGATCAACGATCACAATTACGTAATAGAAGAAAGGGAAACAGGGAGAAGGAGGGGAGTGATGGATGGGAGAGGAGGGGCGAGAAGGGAAGGAAGGGCGAGAAGGGAAGGAGGGGCGAGAAGGGAAGGAGGGGCGAGAAGGGAAGGAGGGGCGAGAAGGGAAGGAGGGGCGAGAAGGGAAGGTGGGGAAGTGGAAGTAACAGGCACATTGAAGGAGGTGCGAGACAGGAGAGGAGAGAAGGTGGGAGAAAACGGAAACGTGGAAATTAGGGAGGGAATGGTGAGAGGAAGTCAAGGAGGGCCACATGAACGGTGCTTGCATTGCAAGTTGCAAACATGTGCGCGATGACATGCAACTTGCATGGCATGCATGGCATGGTGGTGATGGGTGGCTGGCAGGGAAGATGGGCGGACTTTAGAGGGCTTGACAAGCTGAGTGAGGACAGGGAGCAAGGGCCTGCGCACTAAGAGGGGCAAAAACATGAGCACTAGATGGCATTAAGGGCAGTAACAGAGAGGGCGGATATGGAAGGCGAGGGTGATCTGCTGACAGGCGAGCTGATCCACTCACTGCTGCCTTTGAGTTGACTCAAAGGCCGAACAGAGAGGGCACAAAGAGCATGCGCAGCAAAAGGCACTAAGAAAGAGGGCATTGAGAGGGCATTAAGGGCAATAAGAGGAGAGGACGGATATGGAAGGCGAGGGTGGTCTGCTGACAGCCGAGCTGGTCCACTGCTGCCTTGATAGAGCAGTTGCGATCCCCGTGAATGAACTCCGGACCCATCTGCACCGCACACAACCACATTGTACAGAGCACGTTAGGGAATAAGAGTTGGGCAAGCAACGGGGTACATCACAAGTGGTTTGGGTTGAGGCAAGGCAAGGCAAGACAAGGCTAGGCAAGGCATGCTGGTGCTGCTGCTACAGTTGAGTCACCTTTGAGAACTCTCTCTTGAAAGGTACACAAGAACTCTTTTCCCACATCCGTCATGCCAACCAAGACCCTTCACCCACCCAAGACCCTTCACCTTACACCCCCCCTTCAACCCTCAACCCAGAACCCCGAATTTCGAGTCCTCTCTCCTGTTCCCCACACGGTTTGCCCTCTCGCACTCGTCTCCAACCCCCCATTTCCCTTCCTCCCTGGCCTCTCCAACCATTCTGACCATCCTCTTGCTTTCCTCCTCATCTCCCCACTTCTTCCACCCTCATTACGCCCCTCTCTTGATTCTCTTTCCTCTACCCAAACTCCTTAGTCACTTGCCCTCCGGCCCCCCATCTCCCCCTCCCCCATTTCCCCTTACCTCCACAGTCCACGGCACGAGTCCCTCCAGTCCGCGCACTCTCCCCCCGACCACGCCATGCGCCTCCACCACCATCACGCGCAGCTCCCTCCGCCGCGCCCCGCTGCGCCCATTCCCCGCGCCCTCCGCACCTCCTGCGCCCGCTGCGCCTCCGCGCGTCCACTCCGCCCACTGCCTGTCCCGCGCGATCAGCTGCTGCGCCGCCTGCAGCCCCGCCAGGCCCGCGCCCACCACCACCACGTCGTACACATCTGCCGCGCGCGGCCCTGCGACGGCTGGCGACGCCGTGCGACCCCGTGCGACGGGCTGCGAATGCGACGTCATTGAACGATTTACCCCGTGACTATGAGAAGTGACACGAGGAGTCGCGTAAGCAGCCGCTTCAACGCGGATCAGCAGCAGCCTCTGTTGGACTTTCGTTAGAGCTGTGGATCAGCAGAAGGCGGTGATGGAAGGACAATGGTGCAACTCGTTATAATGCAATCATTGTTAAGAATGTTTGTGAATATTAAACTCCTTTCCATGCACTCTTATCAAATCAGCTCGCAACGTGTTTTCCGCATTAGCGACTATGACATAGTTTTGTTCAAAATAGTACTCCTTACCGCTCAGGCTGATTTTGTTTAAAAATAGTTGATTTATTTGATTTTTACTTTGCATAAAGTTCCCAATATTCCCTCACCGCAACACCTCTCAAAATATATATTTGAGATATCTGAGGATTTTGCTTTTCCTCTGGTGCACGTGGTTGCACTGGTACAAGACTACGAATCGTTATATGAAGAGAGAAACATCAAAAGTGTACACTAACTAGATATGTTTGCTAATTTGCCGAATCAGCCGCTCATTTGAGGGACAATCGTTTTGCCTCACAAGCCCCCCATATCTGTCAACTCAACCCCATAACTTTCCTGGCTGGGGATTGCCGAAGCGAACCCAAGCGAGCCCTCGCATTGGTCGAGCTGGCACATTATCTGCTCGCCGATTTCTCCCATTCGACACAGAGGCTAGCGATGGATCTTCTGGGCTGCCCCCGTGTGACATTTCGCCGCGACGCCCTGATCCTCTCTGCTCCCCTCTGCTGCTCCCCGGTCCCCCTCCCCCACCCCCCTCCCTCCATCTGAACTGAATTACTATCCATCCTTGCAACCCCCAATCTTGGAGTCGTTGACGAACCCAACCCAACTTTCAGTGTACCCCAGCTTCCCCTGCTGTACACTGCATCAGAAGCCATGGCTGCCGTCACCGCCTCCCACACCGTTGCGGCTGTTGCCAGCTCCGTTGTGAGCAAGTCGGCCTTCTCCGGCCGTCAGGTTCGCTCCGTCAAGGTCGCCGCCGCTCCCGTGAAGGCTTCCTTCTCCGTCAGGGCCGGCGAGAGGCCGCTGTACTTCCCCGGCAGCACCCCCCCTGCCTACCTTGATGGCACCCTCCCCGCTGACTTTGGCTTCGATCCCCTTGGCCTTGCCTCCAGCAACCTCGACTGGTATGTCCAGGCTGAGGTGTTCCACTGCCGCTGGGCCATGCTCGGTGCCGCCGGTATCATGATCCCCGATGCTCTCCGCGTTGCCGGCCTCCTCGACATCCCCCGTTGGGACGCCGCTAACGTCGCCGAGTACTGGCTCGACACCCCCACCCTGTGGGCCATCGAGATCATCCTCGTCGGCTGGGTTGAGGGCAGGAGATGGGCTGACATCAACAACCCCGGCTCCGTGAAGTGAGTAATGTTTTCCGTTTTCACAGCCATTTCTTAGCCTATGTCTCCGCGACTGGATCTCACGTGAAAATCCTTTTCCGATTACAGCGAGGACCCCATCTTCAAGGGCAATGCCGTCAAGGGTACCGATGTCGGCTACCCCGGCTTCGATCCCCTCGGCATGGGCTTCGGCGAGCCTGCGAAGGTCAAGGACGTGCGTCTCCGGGAGATCAAGAACGGCCGATTGGCCATGCTTGCTAACCTCGGCTTCTGGGTCCAGTGCGCCTACACCGACAAGAGCCCCATTGAGAACCTTCTGGACCACCTCTCCGACCCCTTCCACAACAACGTCGTCGAGGTAATTCATTGCTCCTTTATTTCATCGGCCTTCCAGGATCTTCCCAAAGTTTCTGTATTTTTTCTACCATTCCACGTAAATACGTCTAACATCCACTCTGTTTTCTCTTTTTGTTACCTTTGCAGTCCATTGCCGCCATCCCCGGTGTCTTCCCCGCTCCCTTTTAAATGGGCGTGAAGTTTGGTCCTGTTTTGCCCTGGATGTAAAGCAGTGTTCATAAGATTCAAAACTAAAAAATATGATTATATTCAAACTAGCCCATCACTTGCACAACCACTTGCACGATCACCTGCCTGTGGGAAGCGTTGAAGCACAGCTATTGAAAGGACACAATTAGCTAAAGCAGAAGATCAGCTCGCAAGTTAGGACCATGTGTGGAAGAGAATAAGCTCGCAAGCAGAGGAGCGCCAGATTGCACAACTGGCGGAAGAGAGACACGGAAGAGAGACGGTATATCCGTGTGTCCCGTACGTTGTGTGCGAACTGGTTCGTTTCATCAAGGTATGAGACAGTAAGGGCGCGTCACCTGAACGCCAATCCTGCGATCGATCGTCCAAAATCGATCTTCCACCGCATTTAAACTAAGCGCATCGTAGTAAAAACCTCCAGACGCAAATTAAACCACGCAAAAATTCGATCCTACGTAGGATCGATCCTGCGATCTTGGTGCGATTGCTAATTTAGTAGTTATATGTAATGTGCGATCTTTGGTCGATTTTTAATGCCAACCAACCAAGTCCCGTCCCAGTGCAGATGATCACTCTGAAATGACAAACGTTCTCATGGCCATCTTTAGCAACCATTTAAGTAAACTATTCACAGCAATATTACCCTATAAAACTGTCACTGTAATGAGACTATGCAACAGCAGTTGCAGTCCTGATGGCAAACTTCTCGAGGTACTCCTTCCTGCAAAATAGGCACTTGATGTTAGAGGGTGAGATAAGGCTGAAGATTCTGCACGACCAGCATGGCACTTGGTAGGGAACATACCTGGCAGCCATTTCATCAGCCGGACGGTTGTAAGGAGTCCAAACAGGCTCGCCAACAAAGAGACGGAGTGCCTGAAAAGGAGACAGTGAATCACAGATTGCAGACCACAATGAAAACTCTGCCTATCACGTTTCGTGCAAGGCACATGACTAGAGTGCCCTTGTTACAAAGCCGCAAAACAAGCGGCGCACAAGCAAATAGCACACTGCAATTCTCTCTGCTTCACTGCATGCACTGCGCACCTTGACGTAGTTGGTAGATGCCAGCTGACAGCACGATGAGGTCGCCCTTTGAGTTTAAAACGTCTCAGAACGCACCTTGACGTAGTTGGTGGAGTCGAGGGTGAAGCGGTGGTAGATAATTTTTTTCTAGACGTCTCAAAAGCAACACACTGCAACCCTCTGCTTCCCTGTGTGCGCACCTTGACGTAGTTGGTGGAGTCGAGGGTGAAGCGGTGGTAAATGCCAGCTGGCAGCACGATGAGGTCGCCCTTCTTCGTGTGGATGCGGATCCAACGGTCCTCAAAGTCCCTCACATCAAAGTAGCCTGGCGGGAGATGGGATATGGGAGGAAACATGAGACAGGGTGAATATGGCTGAAGCACCACTGCTGTGGAATACATCATCACCCCCAGTTGCCATCTAGAATAATGAAGATGGAAGCAGCGCACTCACCGCTCCCACACCAAGCAGCACTCACCGCTCCCACCCCAAGCAGCACTCACCGCTGCCGTTGAGGATGTAGCGAATCTCCTCGCCTGTGTGGATGTGCTCCTCTCAGCTCGTGGTTGCATGCTCACCACCCCTTCACTTCCCGCTTCCCCCAGCCCTGGCAGCACTCACCACTGCCATCGAGGATGTAGCGAATCTCCTCGTCTGTGTGGATATGCTCCTCATAGAACGACTTGAGCTTCTGCTCGTAGTTGGGCAGCGTGTCCGGATGGATGTTCACCACCTCCTGTACAAGCAAGAGTGAGGAGGGAAGGGAGTGAAGGGAGTGATGGAAAGTGCGTGGATGAGGAGGAGGGAGTGGGCAGCGTGTCCGGATGAATGTTCACCACCTCCTGTGGATGGTCAGCAAGAGTGGAGTGAAGAGGGAGGGAGGAGAGAAGGTAGTGGAACTGTGTGGTTGCAGGGTGTAGCTGGGCAGCGAGTCCGGATGGATGTTCACCACCTCCTGGGTGAGCGAGCAGTGCACCAGGAGTGAGGGGGGAAGGGAGAGAGGGAGAGGAGGGAAGGGAAGGCAGGGAACGGGTGATCATTGCTCGTAGTTGGGCAGCGTGTCCGGATGGATGTTCACCACCTCCTGCACGGAGAGAGAGGGAGAGGAGGAGAAAAGGAGAGCAGGGAGCGAGGGATAAAAGCACATGGTTACATGTGAATGGCAGCGTGTCCGGGTGGATGTTCACCACCTCCTGTAGATAGAGGGAGGGAGGAGCGGGGAGGGCAGGGAGCGGGTGAGGCGAATGGCAGCACGTCCGGATGGATGTTCACCACCTCCTGTGCGCAAATAGGAGGGGAGGAGGGGAGGAGGGGAGGAGGGGAGGAGGGGAGGAGGAGAGAGGGCAGGGAGCGGGTGAGGCGATTGGCAGCGCGTCCGGATGGATGTTGACCACCTCCTGCGGATGGTCAGCACAGAGTGAAAAGGGAGGGGGGAGAGGGAGTGGTGGAACAGTGTCAAAACTGCACCATTTGAAACTGGGTGGTTACAACAGGGGGCACTTGGGAAGCATGTCCCGATGCATCTCCATTACCTCCTGTGCAAACGACCATGGTCACAGGGGCGAAGGGGGAACGGGGGGAAGGAGAAGAGGGAAGGAGAGGAGGGAAACGGGGAGTAGCACAGCTCACACCTCACCTCGTACAAGTCTGTTGTCCTTGCGGATCTGCTTCAGCTCTGTTCGAGCTTGCTATGTCTTCTAGACCCGCTCACAAGCCACGCCCCCCAGCTCACGCGTCAGCCCCCCACGCCCCAAGGCTAACATCCCACGTGCCCTGCGGCTCACCTCGTACGAGTAGTTGCGCTCCTTGCGAATCTGCTTCAGCTCGGGGTCGGAATCCCAGATGTGCGCGTCCAGCTTCCAGTACAGAATGCCCAGCTCTGCCAAGGGACACACACGGGACACATGAGACAGGCGGGACACGGGAGAGGGGTGAGAGAAGAGTGAGAGGCGCGGCAGAGGGGGTCGTTCTTCCAGATGTCCGCGTCCAGCTTCCAGTACAGGATGCCCAGCTCTGCACTGCGCGCAAGACGAGGGACACACGTGGGACACATGGGACACGCGGGACGCGCGGAACAGGCGAGAGTTTGATGGAAGGTCGGGATAAACGGCGGGGGGTGAGAGGGAATTGATTTTCCGTCTCTGCGCGGGCGAGCTGCGGGAAAGAGAGACGCGAGAGACGCGGGAGAGCCGCGCGAGAGAACCAGGAAGGGGGAGGTTGAGGTTGAGACAACTAGGCGGGAGGGGCGGGAGAGGAGGGATACCGCTGGAAGGGCGAACGCGAAAGGGTAAGCGGTAGGAGGGATTGCGGATGGATGGATGGATGCAAACAGCAGAGGCGGGTGGATGCAAACAGCAGAGGCGGGTGGATGCAAACAGCAGAGGCGGGCGAAGCAGGAACGCGAAACGAGTACGCGTAGGCCGCGAAAGCGACGGCAGCAAGCGACGGCAGCAAGCGACGGCAGCAAGCGACGGCAGCAAGCGACGGAAGGAAGCGAAGAAAGGAAGAGCACAAAATATTTTTTCTTAGGTGCCTCAGAAAGCGAGGGCGGGGAGGGAGAAGGAGGGAGGGAGGGAGGGAGGGAGGGAGGGAGGGAGGGAGGGAGGGAGGGAGGGAGGGAGGGAGGGAGGGAGGGAGGGAGGGAGGGAGGGAGGGGAGAGAGGGAGGGAAGGAGGCGCACCGGAGAGTGTCTCGAGGGAGCAGGGCTGGTTGGGATCGAGGCGGTGCGGCAGCCGTTGGTCGTCGAGCTTGTCGTCCATGTACCACGCCTGGCGGGGGATGGAAGGGGAGAAGACGGAAATGGTCAAGAAACTGAGCAGTAACGTATGCAAGGATGGATGCTTGCGGTTGGCGCTGATTGTCAACGCTGTCGTCCATGTACCACTCCTGTTGGAGGATGGAGGGAGCAGGAAGAAGAGACGACGAAGAGGAATGAAAACAGAGATAAGTCGTGAACGCCGGAATGCTGGCGGTGAGGCAGGCGCTGGTCGTCGAGCTTGTCGTCCATGTACCACGCCTGGCGGGGGATGGAAGGGGGGATGGAGGGGGAATGAAGGAATAGAACCGACGGGCATGCAAGTTGAAGCTGTGAGCGCGAGATGAGCGATGGCAGGCGCTGGTCGTCGCTCTTGTCGTCCATGTACCACGCCTGGCGGGGGGGATGGAGGGGGGATGGAGGAGAAGGAAGAGACGCGGAAGAGACAGAGCAGTAGCGTATGCAAGGATGCTAGCGGTGCGGTTGCCGCTGGTCGTCGAGTTTGTCGTCCATGTACCACGCCTGGCGGGGGATGGAAGGGGAAGAAGACGGAAGAGGAATGCAGAAGAAGTTGAAGGTAATAAGACATCGCGACGAGCGGAATGCGACAAGGTACGACACAACGGGGAATGTCGCACGTGAGGGAATGATCATGGCTGTGCTGGTCGCCGGGTCTATCGTGCGCGTATCCATGTACCGCGCCTGCGAATAGCGGTGCGACGGATAACGAGGAGAGACGGATTACGCGGCGCGACAGATTGGGACAGGTAGAGTTGAGATACGAGCCGGGCCGCGATACTCGATGAGGCATCACGTTGCAAAAAAAACAGAAAGGTATTGGCGACGTGATTTCTTATTGCAACAACGGGCGGAATAAGTAGGATTCTGAGGATTCTCGTGGAACCATTGCGAAGGAACACGATCTAGACAAACTCATCAACCTTCGGCATTGCCGCGAGAAGCGCGACGCGTGGAGAACCGGGCGCACGATCCGCATGATGGCTCACCTCGGGCGCCATTGCCGTCGAGAGAGCTGTTCGCGGCTCGCGCGGTAGAGCTGCGGGCGTATTGTTGAAAACGAACGCTTACGGAAGCAAACACCGCGCTGAGCAGAGCGACGAGAGTGACTCGAACAAACGAACTAGTTTCTGAATGTCTTGAAACTAATTCCTGAGGTACAGAAGTCTCTAGATTCCATTCGAGATTCTTTCCGTCTTGGTTTTCCCTCCCGCGCTGCTGCCAGCCAGCACCGCCACCGCCACTCGCCAGTTGTCACTGCTGCTCTGTATCTTCGATATAAGAGCTTCATGTAACGGGATGGGTAGATTCAGTGAATGTTTCGCTTCGAGGGCTTTGACCACTTACAGCCTTCGTACTCACTAAATGTTACGCATTTTGTAATATGTGTGGCCAAACGCGTAGCTGGTCATCTAAGTAGTACAGTGTATCTTTGCTTTAAAAAGTACCTCACAATACTCTTCAAACTACATGCTGAGGACCAAACATAACAAAAACACAAGCACATACGATATGTGCACACACACACACACACACACACACACACACACACACACACACACACACACACACACACACACACACACACACACACACACACACACACACACACACACACACACATACATACACACACACACACACACATACACACACACACACATACATACACACACACGCATACACATATACACACATACACACACATACGCATACACACACACATACACACACACACACACAAACATACATACACACACATCCTCAAACGCACACGCAATCACGCACGAACGCGCGCGCACACACACACACACAGACACACACACACACACACACACACACACACACAAACACACACACACACACACATATACACACACACATACACACACACACACACACACACACACACACACATACACGCACACACACACACACACACACACACGCGCGCGCGCGCGCGCGCGCGCGCGCACGCAATATCTGACGACGCCAAAGCGCAGTACTACAACGACCCGCTTATGGCGTACATCGTGTTGCTTCGCAACATGTTGCCGGCGAAGCAGCTGGGGATTCGTACCTACAAAACAACACCCGGTCCGGCACTTGAAGCCTGGCGACACCTCACAAGCGTGTATTAGCCCAAGGATTCCGTGTCGTCGAGCCAACTATTCCAGCAGCTAATTTAGATCAAAATGGGACCAGGGGAGAAGGCGAACACTATATCAACCGTTGCCGGAGCATACACGATCAACTCGCGAAACTTGGGAGCTCGATTTCAGAAGTAATTTATGTTAATGGCGTGCTTGTAGGACTCAGCCCAAAGTGGCGACCCTGCAAGGTGCTCCTCCGGCAACAAGGGGCTATCTCGGAAGCCGCCCTCTGCGCCGCCCTTCGCGTCGAACAATAGGATATAGATCAGCAGCGCCCCGCGCCACGACGAGAACGAGAACGTCTCGCCTTCGACGCCGACAACAAGGAAGAGCAACGACCAGGACGCCTTTACTGCAAAATGTGCAGAAATTTCGGGCACTCGGCGGAGCGATGTAAATTCCGCTCTAGCCCTCGCCAATCCAATCCGAGCACTTGGGCCGGCTGGCAAGACGCAAGGCAGGGTGTGCGTCACGCCTAGGGCTATCAGCCCACATCGCGCAACGCGAAGCCAACGGTTTAGCACCAGCAACAGAAGCCGTGCAACCTGGACCCCCGCGCAATGTCACCAGTAACATGATAATGACACCTACGCGTGGAACCCGTCGTCGCCGCGTGCGCAAACTGCCGTAAGAGCCAGCGCTACACCCTACTGGGCCCTTCACGGAAAACAATCAGTTTACGCATGGCCACGACTACAACGACGACGACGACCAGAATTGGAACTTACCAATCACGCTTCTTGAGAGCCCCTCGAATGTACCTAATTCACGGATGGCACCCATCGATTGGCTCACACGCGAACAATTTCTCAAGTTCAACTCCGCACATCGTAACGCCGCGACTGACACTGCTCACGCGCGATGACTACATGCACCACAACACGTGGTACCTCGACAGTTGCTGCGAGCAGCACATGGTGGGCTCCGCTCGTTTCATATCCAATCTCGTCCCAAGCTTCACGGTTACATGTATCACCGTGGTGAACAACAACCGCCTACGCGCAAGCGCGCAAGGCACTGTCGTCCTCAAGGTGCATGGGAGCAACACGCACGTCACACTAAAGTCCGTGCTCATCCAGCAGAATCTGAGCTTCAACCTCCTCTCGGTGTCGCAACTCATGGATTGCAGGGTGCAACTCAGCACCGATCCCGAATTACGCGACATCATTCGGCACTATGCGGCGCCTGACAAGTCACGCAAGCAAATCGGACGAGCACACTCCGAGAACGGCATGTAGGTGCTCGATTTCGACATTCCAGACTGAAGCAGTGACACGGATGAGTTAATCGATCTCATTCCGCTGCGCTTCGAGCACATCCACCATTCTGAATAGAAGCATCCGGACGGCAAGCCTTGGGTGCCGCATCACCCGCACAAGCGCGAAGTCGTGCTGCACGACCCCGACCCTGAAGGCTGTTGAGTTACTAAGTAAGAGTAAGCTTAGGTTTTAGGTAGGGCCTAGGCTTAGTAGCCTAGGCCCAGGGGAAGTCGAGGAGGTTGTGCCAAGGTGAGAGTCGAGAATGGGAAAAGTGATGTTCACTATAGCACTAGGGTACATATAGTAAACAGAGCATGCAAAGAAGGTGCACCACCAACAGTTTATAATAACTACACTAAACTACAGCTACAGGCAGTTACATATAAATTCTAACACTCCCCCATAACTGCCTGCAGCAGGAGTTTGTGCAGAACACAACCTGCAGGGGTATACCAGCAACAGCAACAGCAGGTACGGTAACAGAGCAGGTACAGCAGCAAAGGGACAGGCGACAGCAAGAAATTCCTGCCACCCCCTTACTCTCTTCCCCCCCCAACCACAGGAGGGGCAGCAGGGAGAGTGAGGAGGCGGGCTGGCTCTGGCTGGTCACCCCCTCCATTTCCTCACCCTCCCCCTCCCCCTCCCCCCCACACTGCTGCAGGAGCAGCAGAGGGGGGAAGAGAGGAGAGGTGGAGGGACGGCTGCTGGTTGGTCTCACACCCGCCACCCTAGTGCCACTCCCCCGGCTCCCCCACACCCTCACACCCTCCCCCCCAGCGGCAGCTGCAGCAGTGGGAACGAAAGGAGGAGGAGGGGAAGGGAAGCACACCACCCATCACCCCAACACCCGCCACCCCCATACCCTCCCCCCCACGGCTGCAGGGAGACGAAGGAGGAGGGGGTGGGCGGGGAGAAAGCCGCAGAGCGGCTACAGAGGGTCGGCGCGGGTAGGTCAAGGGCGGCTGCAGTGAGTGCAGGCGCGGGGTGAGGCAGAGGCGGCTGCACCGAGTGCAGGAGCGGGGGCGGCTGCTCCAAGGGCAGGCGCCGGGTGGTGCAGGGGCGGCTGCAGCGAGTGCAGGCGCGGGTGAGGCAGGGGCACCGCCGAGTGCGCCAGGGGCGGGTACGCGGCGGCTCAGGACACCGTCGCAGGCGCCAGGGGCGGTTCCGCGGCGGCTCAGGGCACCGTCGCGCACCACGGGGCACGTGACGGGCAGTTTAGGGCACCGTCGCATGCCACGGGGCGCACGACGGGCAGGGCACCGTCGCGTGCCACGGGGCGCATGACGGGCAGGGCACCGTCGCGTGCCACGGGGCGCACGACGGGCAGGTTTAGGGCACCGTCGTGTGCCACGGGGCGCACGACGGGCAGGGCACCGTCGCATGCCACGGGGCGCACGACGGGCAGGGCACCGTCGCGTGCCACGGGGCGCGCGACGGGCAGAAAAGATGTCACTCGCCACCCGGGGGCGGGACAGGACGAAAATCGCCACGCGCCCGAGGCGCGCGACCGGAAAAACAGCAGCGGAAGCGTGAGGCGGGCCCACAGGCCAGGACGTAACTCGCTCTAATGCCATGTTGAGTTACTAAGTAAGAGTAAGCTTAGGTTTTAGGTAGGGCCTAGGCTTAGTAGCCTAGGCCTAGGGGAAGTCGAGGAGGTTGTGCCAAGGTGAGAGTCGAGAATGGGAAAAGTGATGTTCACTATAGCACTAGGGTACATATAGTAAACAGAGCATGCAAAGAAGGTGCACCACCAACAGTTTATAATAACTACACTAAACTACAGCTACAGGCAGTTACATATAAATTCTAACAACGGCATCTGCAGAGATTGTCACACGCCGACAACATCAGGGGATCCTGCGCTGAACGGTTTTGGAACTTTCAACGCGTGTGGAGTGGCACGACCTTACACCAATGAGGAGTTTATGAAGGTCTACTCCCACTGGCGTGACCCCAAGAAGAAACTCACCGTCGTATAAGAAAAAGAGCTCGCACGACGCGAAGAAGAAAAATTTCGCCGAGGCACGCGGAACCTTCGCCTGCGGTGCATGGGGCGTGGAAGTAGAAGAAGGCGCCTCCAATGAAGGGGGCTGGGGCACTACTACTAGTGGCACCGGCGGCGGATGGGGCACCCCCGACGGAGGCTGGAGCGCATGGCGAGAAGAACAAAGGGGGGGAACGGAAGAAGCAGAAGAAATTGAACCACCAGTTGTTCCTCTCGGCTGCCCTCCGCGCCTCCCTGCACCTACCCCCCTCCGCCTGCCGACATCCAGCCGCATCGCAACCCTTGGGACACCATCGACTGGGAAATGCGCCCTCGACCCCACGTCGCACTGTCTACAGACCCAATCCCGAGCCGTGCAAACCCACGCTCGTCCCCGTAACAATTCCCGGGACCAACACCAGCCTCTCAGTTATTCCCGATAAGGAATTCCTCGTGCTAATGCTAACGACGGCGAATGATGCGGCAGCAGAAGAAGATGTGCCAGCAGCACCAAACCCCGTACCTGAAGAAGACCCCGAAGTGGTGCGGGCGCGCTACACGCGCACCTCCGGACTTCGCGCAACTGATGGCATGTGGCATCAGCG